CCTGGCCTGAGACCATTTGGAGGTATCATTACATCCTTGGGTTGTAGTAGCATTGCCTGAGGGGCCCATCCTCCATTCCCTCAGAGAAACCGAGGCCCAAAGCCAGCGATGTGCCTATTGGCTCCATTTCTGCTCTAATAAGACCCATATTTCCATTCTGGCAGCACCTGTACCCCCACAATACAACAGTGGTGGGGCTCTTCTCCCTGCAGCCCACCCATCCCCCACAAAGCGGCTGGACAGGGCCCATTCAAACCATTCTCACCCCAAAAGGCTGCCTCACTGTCATCGGAGGCTGCTCCTGGCACCCAAACGGTACCCCATGGGCTAGGCATTGGCAAGGGCGTTAGGGCCAGACCAATCAATGGCAAACACATCGGCCAGGACCCCTGTTTTTTAACTCTGGGGGCAGTGAAGTCTGACTCACACCAGTGTCCTCCCTGTGAGCAAGACAGGAACAGCCACCACCACAGTCATAGCAGTGGCATTAAGGGTGCATCGTGTGCCATGCATTATGTGTGCTGCCTCTCAAAACACTCTGTGAGTGGTCACCGTCATCTTCATTTTACAGAGAAAGAAACCGAGGCACAGGGCGTGGCACTGACTCCTCAGTTGCAGGGCTGTCTGCTTTCCAAGTTTGGACCCTTCACCTGGGCCCTGACACACCCAAACCACGGAGGGCCTGGAATGCCAGGCCGGGGGGTTGAGCAGCTGTCAGAGGCACAATGAGCCCAGGAGGACCCTGAGTGCGGCTGACCTGGTCAGATCGACAGTTTAGAAATAGACTCCAAAAGCCTGCTCATCAGAAGTGGAGCTGGGACAGCCGAGGGCGACCTGGAGAGGAGAGGGGGGCCTAAGGAGTAAGAGGTGGCAACCCGACTGGAGGACAGGGGAGCTTGTCGTGCCCAGTGGGACCTCACACACTCATGCCCCCTCCAGCTCTGCGGAGGGGCAGCAGGCCTGGGGGAGCAATCTTCCCTCCCGGCCCCCTCCCTACAGTCCCCACCCCAGGCAGAATGCGGCTCCACTTCTTAGTTCCTCTGTGGCCTTAAATGATAGTTACAGTGACAATATGGGCAGGAACCTGGTGTCACCAAGATAAGCACTTAGTGTGCATTAGTTCATTCAATCCTCACAACCATTGTCTATGTTTGGAAGAACTCACCCAGTTTAATACATGAGGAAACTGAGAGTGGAAGGGACTCATTTCCAATCGTTCATAAGTAGAACAGCCAAGACACAAGCCTGGATCATCCCACACCAGAGTCCGTGTCTGTAACCACTGTACTGGTCCCTCCTTGTCCCGTAGCCTCAGCTCCTGCCAGGGGGGAGGAATATTTGTCACATAAGAGAGGATGGAGATCATGCTAGTGACAGCAGCAGGCCGAGCAGAGCGAGCACACACAGGTGCTGAACCCAAGTGTCCTGTCCTCGTCTCTCTGCCCCTGTGAGCCCATCTGTGTGGTTGTTGAGTGGGGACGACTGCAGGGACCCTGGCAAGTAGCTGTAGCCAGAGCCCACAGACGCTCAAGGTCCCTGGCATGCCTGGGATACTGGCCCTGCTGCGCGTATTTCTCTGTCAGAGGCCCCTGCAGCATCCTCATCCCAGACCAGTCCTGATGGGCAGCACCCCTTCTCCACCTGCTGCTATCTCTGGTTCTCCCTAGAGAGGCAGCCCCCCAAATCAGGGCAACATGCTTGTTGTACCCTAGCCTACAACTCAGCTCCAGAAAGTTTTGAGGGGCAGGATAAGGCTGGGCGTGGCATGGGTGCAGGGCACATGCGCAGGTATGTGGTACCTTGATGAACACTGGAGGGAGGAAGTGAGTTCACAAGGGCACATTCACCGCCGGGCCCCAGAACCCCTCTTCTTACCCCCATTGGATCACGTTTCTAACCTGCCCTTTGCTCCCTGAGTAAAGATGCCAGCCCTGCCCTCAAGAAACCCTGAGCCTGCAGGCATGGAGAGAGACCACAGTGGGTGTGCAGTGAGAACCTAGCGCACGTGCTCAGGGTGTGACCAAGGAGGGGCCAAGGAGGTTGGGGAGCACTCGGGCATGGTTAGTGGATGTCTGCTAAACGAAGGAAGGATAGGCTGTCCAGGCTGGGGGAAGGGCTCCAGCAAAGGCCTTGGGGCATGAAAGTTCAGGACAGGTTCAGTCAATTACTCCCTGCAGCTACAGCATGACACGCGGGGTATATGCAGATGAGAGAGGCATTGGGGCCACGCTGGAAGACTGAACACCAAGCTACAGAGCCAGGACTTTGAGTAATGTGTCAATTAAATAAGTCAATGAGTTGGAAGGGCAGGTGTCCCAGAAGGGGCATAGCCTTGGGGTCTGGTAGCGATGTGGCAGAGACAGGGTTGGTCAGACAGGCTTACAGACCCTCGTGGGCTGACCTTTAGAGTCCAGTGGACCCTCCCGAACACAGGAAAATCATGCAGCATGTGAGAAGCTATTGCCCTTCAGCTTCAGATGTCTACCCTCCTGGCTCAGGCCAGAGAGGAAGAAAGGGACCAGCCGGGTGCTGAGAGGCAGCCCACTCCCCAGCCAAGGTTCCTTCACCTCACTTTGGGGTGAACTTGGCGCAAGGCCATTGCAAGAGAGCAAGGGGAGCAGCTTGTGGCCTGTGTACTTGCCCAAAAGGATTTCCTTCTGGTTTTGATGCATGGAAAAGGCACAACATCTGGAAGTAGGAAAGTAGAACAGCCTCTAAAATCCAGCTGTGGGCTGCTTGCCTTGGACCTGCCCCAACAGAGCTCGACCTGCACTTGTGGCCAGGCCTTCAAGGGCAAGGTGTGGAAGGAGCTCGCCCCAGACTGGCTGTTGTTTCTAACTCCTGTCCTTACGTCTGGCTGGGGACTTTTGATCCCATCACCTCTGCCTTGTGTCCAGGCTCAGTGACCCTCATCTATGACACTACACCTGCCTTCTCCTCACTAGTCCCCTGGTCTTCTCTCCTAGCCCTAGCTGTCACCAGCAGCCAAAGTGGGGAAGGGGGTATCTTCCTCAAGTGCATATCTGACCCTGTGCCCCCCTTCTTAAGGCCTTTTTATGGTCCCCCTGTCCCCATGGTAGTGTCCAGACTCTTCAACCTGCAGAATGAACCCCTACTCTCTGGCCTCTGATCTCCCTTGAGGCTCCTCGCCCACTAGGGCCCATTTCACGGCCCACACACAGCCACAGAGGGGCCTCCTCAGGGACTCCGTGCCCTACCCACACTGCAGTACCCCGATGCCGGCCCTCACTTGGCCTTCAGTGTTGGTCACCACACTCTTCTTTGGAGTCCTGGTCATTGCTCAAGACTCAGCTGGACCAGGGACTGAATGAAGCAAATGCATCAGTGTTGATGTGACTGACTGCATGTCTCTCCAGGTTTATCCAGTCCCCTACTCGGTGACACCTCACCTTCCCCAGGCTGGGTTAGGTGCCACCTCTGTGCTGCCACACCCCTTGTGTTTCCCTCCGGGACAGGTCCAGCTGCTGCGTTCTGTTCTGACGGTGTATGTGCCTCCCCGTGGGCTCTGTGCTCCTGGAGAGCAGGACCCATGTCTGGGTCCTCACTCTGTCTCCACCTTACCCAGCACAGAGCTGGAGCCAATCCATCCACCTAAATAGCCCACACTAAAAATGACCACATGTGCCGCACTGCCCTGGATGGGGACACCGACCTCTCAGGGTTGAGAAAGTAAGCTAGGCGGACTACTGGGTCTGAATCTGCCCACGGTCCCCTCTAGGCTCCCACCCATGAAGGCACTAACAGATAAGGTATCTTTAAAGTTGGGAGGTGGAGGCAAAAAGGAACCCAGTGCCCAGATCAGGAAAGAGAAAAATCACATCTTCCAAGTGTAGACACAGGCAGGGGCTGTTAGCTCCTTCTTCCCCCTGCAGATAAGCCCAGAGAAGGTGGGGAAGAGTCTATATGGGAGCGCTAGTCCTTGAGGACACAGCTGGCCTGGCTCAGAGGCACGGGACATGTGGGTCCTGATCTGGTGGGCAGTTCAGCCCCAGGCTGGGGGATGAAACCAATGGCTCTGAAGAGGGTCCTGTCTTCCTCTGGTCTCATTCTCCGAAAGGGTCACCTCCCCCGCCCACCTGCTCCAGGACGGCAGCTGGTAGCAGAGCCACCTGGGCATCTGGTCTTTGCCTTGTCACTGCCCTGTGATCACCACAGAAAGCCTTCATCTCTGAGGTGGGGACACTGAGGCCACACACTTCATAGGTTGTTCTGTGGCTAAACACTCAGCAGCAGGCCTGGACAGAAAGAGCAATTGCTGATCAGTGTTGGGTCTTTCCTCACCCATGGCACACACAGCAGGGACACAGCCAGACAGTGGGGAAAAGCAGGGGAGCACACAGTCCCACAAGGGGACCAGACTTTGACAAAGTCAGACAAAGTCAAGCCAGACTTTGAAGGCTGAGGGGGGATTGGATGGATTATTACGAGAGAGAGGGCATTCCTTGCTGAATGACTTGCATGAACAAAGGCTTCAAATTGCCTGGTGGACTCCTGTTGTTTCCAGAGTATGAGGTGGAAGTCGGAAGGGGCAGGAAGATGTGGGGGGGCGGGGTTTGAATGCCAGACCTAAAGGGCTTTAAGCAGAGAGCAGCAGGGGTATGTCTCTACATCAGAGACTTCCTCTGGGCAGCAGTGTGGAGAATAGGGAGGGAGAGTTAGAAGTTAGAGGGGTCCAGGGAGAGAGGTTGGAGCTGGGCAGAGGCTGCCGAGATTAGGGCAGCCTGGGGCCACAGGAGGAGCATGCAGTGGTTGTTGCTGTCTGTCCACCCCCACCCCCATCTCTGACCAGAGGCTATCTCCCCAGATAGGGTCTGTGCGCTGAGTACTTCATGGGGAGCTAACCGGGGCACCTGGAGACCTCGGGCTGGATGGGGTGTTGGGGGACAGTGGTGAGTGCAGAGGATGTTGGAGGTCATGTCCAGGCTGGGTACTGGGCCCTCCAGGGGCTGCGGAGCACCCCTCACCAGCCTCTCCCTCAGTTTGAAGGCTGCAGCAAGGCCTTCTCGCGGCTGGAGAACCTCAAGATCCACCTGCGGAGCCACACAGGCGAGAAGCCATACCTGTGCCAGCACCCAGGCTGTCAGAAGGCCTTCAGCAACTCCAGCGACCGCGCCAAGCACCAGCGCACCCACCTTGACACGGTAGGCCCGAGGGTGAAGGCCAAGGGGATGGGGGTGGAGGACATACACACTCCTCCCTTGTCTAATGGAGGGCAGGAGCCAGGGTCCATGCAGAAACCCTGCCTTCGTCCTGGAGCCTACAGACATTTTCGGTAGAATGATTGTTTGGAGAGAAAGGAAAATCCTGTCATTAGAGGGTGTTCAGCGGACCCCTGGCCTCTATCCCCTAGATAGTGATTTCCCATCTCCTCTTATGACAGCTCTGTTCCTCTGCACATGGCCAAATGTCCTGGGGAGGAGATAGGAACGTCTCCCCCAGTTGAGAACCACTGCTTTAGCCCGTGGGTGCTGCCAGAGCACCAGCGTCTTTGCATCTCCCTCTGGAAAGGGTGGGCTCTCCATCCCGAGTCCTCTCCCCAGGCCTGAGTGGTTAGCCAGCCCCTGAAAGGCCCGCCCTGCTCTTCCCTCCCTATCCCCTCCACGGACACAGACTGGAGGCTCTCCGGGTGTTCTTTACACCTTGAGGGTGAGGAGTTGAGGTGAATAGGGCCTAAGACTCAGGCCCCTGGAATAGGGACCTGGCCCCACGTGTCTGCGTGTCACCTCCTTTCCCTCATTTATGCGAGACACTGAGATAGCCCACAGCCTTCCACAGGGCTGGTCCAAGCATTCTCTCTGCATATAGTCCTCAGCAGTTAACAGCGCTTCCTATGGTCTCCCATGGTCTCATACTGACTCTGCCAGTCAGGGGGTCACTAACCCATTTGACAGATGAGGAAAGTGGGACTCTGGGAGTTTCAGTACCTACTTACCTGGAAAGTGGCAGAGCTGACTCAGAGGGGGGCCTCACACCAGTCTCAAGGGCCTGTGTGAAGAGTGCCTGGGAGGACCCCAGCCCCCACGTGCCGTAGAGGACGGGTCTGCAGCCAGAGTCCACGTCTGCCTGTGTCCTTGCTCTTCATGCAAGTGTTTGGGGAACTACAGGTTGAGGGGCTAGGAGACCTGAGGGGATGGCAGAAAATAGCAGGGAGGTCATATTTGGGTCCAGGTGAGGCCCTGGGCAGAATGTTCTACACATCTCCCCCTGCCTTGACCCTCATATCACACAAACCCTCCCCTAGTTTAATCCTGGTGATGACTCACAAGGTAAGGGCCACTGTCCCCATTTTGCAAACAAAGAAACTGAGACTCAGATGAAGCCATTGGACGATCACCCAGCTGATAAGTGGCCGAGCTGGGATGCAGACCCAGGTCTGTCTGACTCCACGTCCAGTGCCTTCATTGGAAAAGTAGGTGTGTCAGCCACACCGGCGAGGTGGAGCTGAGCGGAGGGGATGAGGGTAAGAAAAAAGAGCTCTGTCCCCTACCTAAACCCGACCCCTGCCACCACCTCGCCCTCTCAGGCTGCACTGCCACAGGCTATGTTGAGGACATGAAGTGAGGAGTATGCTAACAAATCCCCTGCTTGCACTATCTTCTCATATACCCAGCCCTTGCCCTTGGGGCCCAGCCCAGGCCCTGAGGGGCAGTTTGCACCCCAGCACCCCAGTTACATCTCCCAGGGGCCACAAGCAGTACCAACAGCATCAGGCCTCTCTGCACATCCTCCCCGCAGGCCGCTCAGGGTCACCCACTCTGATTTACCCCCTTTCCCCCCTCCCTCCATACTGCATTTCCTGGACCCAGCCCCAAAGCAGCAGGCCTCTGGCCCCCACTTGGTGTGTGAACAGAGCCCCAGGGTTAGGTCAGGTCAGGCCCAGAATGAGCCTGCAGGGTTATCTCAGGCCTTCATTGCCCCCAGAAGGTCCTGGTGAAGCCCGGGAGGTACAGCCTCCAAGCCCAGCCCCCTGCTTGCGCCCATCCACACATAAACATCACAGGCAGCTCTGAGTGGCTAGGTTGCTTTCCCAGCACCCAAGGTTCAGAGGCCCAGAGGGTTATACCCCATGTGCTCTGGGTCTTGTTTTTCAGAAGGAACCTGGTCATGTCCCCAGCTCCCCTCTGGCACCACCCGCCATGGGATTCTCTCCATGGGCAGGAAAGTGGTGGAACAGGCTGGAGAAGACCAGCCTGGGTCCTTACCCTGGCCCTGTACTTGGTCCCAGAGGTCCAAAGAATGCCACCTAGCCTCTCTGGGCCTCAGTTTTCTCAAACACCTACCTTACAAGAGATAGATGGGAACCAACCATGATGATGGATATAGAGGCCTAACGCATGGTCTGCACAGCAAATATGAGCCCCTCCTTTTCCGTCCTATGACTCATTGATGGAATGCTGACCAAACCTGGCCATATCTCCAGCACTCAGTGTAGGGTTCAAGTCTTGACTACACAGACTCCCTAAATAAGCCACTGTTCTGCTCTGGCCTCAGTTTCCCCATTGGCAAGATGGGGCTGATGATCTCTCCCTTGCCCACTTCACGGGACCATTCAGGGCTGCAGGCCCAAGAGGAGGCACCCTAGCAGAATGCCGTGGGCATTCCCTCTTTGAAATCTTAGGCAAAGCATCAACCTTGATTTCCTTTTCTGCACAGTGGAGATGCTTCTCAAAGGTGGGTGTGAGGCTGAAAGACCAGGGATGGCAGGCACTCGCACACGGCCTGCGTGTAGGGGGCGCGCGGTACGTGAGCACAGTTCTGGAGCAGAGATCTGGGGGGCTGTGCGAGCTTGTCCTCACAGCACAACCAGGAGGGCCCTTGTTAGTGACAAGACTTTGGAGCCGGTGCTGTGACTCCAGGCCTGGGACTTGGCTGCTGCTGGGACACCCCCAGGGTTTCCTGAGGGCTCGTGGGGGAGCTGGGCCCAAGGAATGCTCTACACACGTCAGGCCCTGGAAAAACAAACACGGAGATGGGCCTTGTGCCCTCTTTCCAGGCAAGTGTGCCTGCACACTCAGAGCTCTGTTTGTTTGCTTTTTGACAAAAGCGTGTGGATATTTATCAGCATCCCCAAGGGATAGGGCCCAGGGCAGGGCAGAGGCACAGGGAGAGAGGAGAAAGTTGGGATGGGGTGAGAGAAGGGGAATGTGTTTAAGTATCTGTGCATATGTTGGCGGGTGGGGGGTCAAGCCTATGGGAGAGGGGCCCTGTGTGTCTGTCTGTCTGCATGCATGTCTGTCTGCATCTCTGTGTGGTTGGGTGGGGGGCAGGTCTGAGGAGTACTGCGTGCCTTCCCATCCCACCCCTTCCCGTCAGCAAGGCAAGCCTCTCACTGCTCTGTCTCTCTCTTTTTGCTCTCCGTTTCTTTAACCTGACAACTCTACGTGGCAGCACCAAGGTATAGTTGTCTCTTTCTGCTTCCCTTTCCCCATGAGGTCCCTGAGTCAGGTCAACCAACCTCACCTCGGTCCAGAGGGCAGAGTTACCTTGTGGTTCAGGGGCAGTTCCACTCGGGCATGTCTGGCAGGGACACAGTAATCCAAGAGGTGCCACCTCCTCCAAACATTCTCCTGATCCCTACAGTCCCTGGAGGCCAGAGGGCCCTGAGAAACTAGAATCACTAGATGTGTTCAAAAGGGGACATGGGGAGGATTTCAAGCCCCAGTCGCTGCTGGGTCCCCAAGTAGGGTGTTGTGGAAGCCCACGTGGGAGAGCTCAGAATCCAGTTATACCCGCGGAGCCACTGCCCTGGGGGTCAGTCCCTGAGACCCGAGAAGAAGGAACAAGGGACCCTCCCCTGAGGAAGACTCACCACCTGGTTGGAGGACACTGGACAGGCCCAGCAGTGCAGGTGGGCAGTGCTGCAGATGGGAAGCTCAGCAGGTAGAGGTGGGAAGAAGATTTGAGAAGGGCTTGGAGAGACGATGAGAGTGCAAGGCAGGAGCAGGAGGGGTGAAGACTTAAGCAGGGCCCAAGTCACAAAAGGGCCTTTGTTGGCCAGAGATGGGCTGTATCCAAGGGCGCCCGGAAGTCATGGACAGTTAGGAAGAGGGTGGCCAGCTCTGAGAGAAAGGCCCTCCGGCTGTGAGTGCAGAGAAAGGTCATGGACAGTTAGGAAGAGGGTGGCCAGCTCTGAGAGAAAGGCCCTCCGGCTGTGAGTGCAAGGGGAGATGGGAGGCACAGAGAGCAGGATGGGGCCCAGGCACAAACTAAGGGAGGCAGTGAGCATGGATTTGTTCTAGAAGAGCAATGGGGGCCCCAAGGGTAAGAGACATAATGGGCACAGATGCCCAGCCTCCCAGGTCTGTGCCTGAGACCCAGTTCTCTTCTGGTGTCCTGTGATTGTCAGGGAAGAACCGGAGCACCATCTGGAGACTCCGATGCCACTGCCAGGCGTGGTCAGCTGCTCCTAGCCAGGGGTCCCACCATACTCCAGCCTGACATCATATTTGTGCCCCCTTGCCCTATGCTGTTCCTCTCTGTTCCCCTCTTCTCCTCCTCCTCCTCCTCTCCGAGGCAGCCACCTCACTTCATTTCTTGTCCCTTCGCTACTCTGGGCTACAAAGTGTAAACTTTCTCAGAGCCAGTGTCAGAGCTGGGAGAATCCTCAGTGGCCCCATTTTACAGAGGAGAAAAGTTGACTCGTGAGGGGAGAAGCAACCTACCTGTGGTCCCAGGATGAGGGTGGAATAGACACAGATCCCTTCGTTTGTTACCAGGCCAAGCACCTTCCCCAAACCCATGGGGGGGAGGGGGGCTGGCTGAGTCAGACTCCTGGAGGGCGCACGGAGGGAGGGACAGCGCGTGAGCCTGCAGCCTGCCCCTTGCCGAGTCATCTCCCCGCCACAGGTCACAGCAGGACCTTGGGCCTGGAAGGTGGCCTCTCACTCACCCTGCCTCTGCCCCTCTCATGTTGTAGAAGCCATATGCCTGTCAGATCCCTGGCTGTTCCAAGCGCTACACGGACCCCAGCTCCCTCCGCAAGCACGTGAAGGCCCATTCGGCCAAAGAGCAGCAGGTGCGTAAGAAGGTAAGATGGCCTGTGTTTTGGGATCACCTCTTAGATGCGCTGCCCCGGGCCTCCCAGCACCATGTCCAGCATCAAACCAGGCAGCCACACTCCTTGTGGGCATTCACCCTTCCACACCCCAAGGCTGCGGCTGTCCGTCATCCACCGTCTGCCTCCCACCCGCCCCCTGAGCGTGCTTCCTCACCCCTAGCCCGCCAGGTAGGCCATCCAACTCTCTCATCCACCTGCCCACTCACTTATTAAACATTGGATGTCAGGCACTGTGTAGGCCTCGAAGAGGCAGAAATGGAAAACCTTCCATGGGGACCTGGCCACTGAGAGACAGACACAAAGAGCTAATTCAGTATATAATATAAAAAGGACTGCAGTAGAGGTGTGCAGAGAATAGTCGGGGGTGCAGACACAGGGGCCTTAGCGCATCAGGGTGGGAACAGGGGGTTGTGGGAGGAAGGACACCAGGAGCAGGAGAGGACAGCGGTGTGCACGGAGGTCTGACCTGGAGCAGAGCAGGAGAGGCGGGGAGGGGTCGGGCTTGGTGACAGCTGGGCTGGGTGGGGGGATGGCAGAGGAGCACGAGTGTCAGACTTTGAGGGGCAGGATGGATGGTGGTCCACCTCACCAGGGTAGAGCATCTAAAAAAGAAGCAGATTTGCAGGAGAAAACCGTTTCTGTTTGGGACAAGGAGTACGTGAGCTGCTAAGGGACCCGGTGCAATGGGAGGGATGGGACTGCAACTTGGGGCAGAGCGGACCTGGCTGGGTTTAACCCATATCTCCAGAGGACCACTGGGGCCATGGGACTGGGCATACTTAAGTGCCAGGGAGGCTATGAGGGTGAAGAGAAACATCAGGGCCTGATCCAGGGGCACTGGCATGACAGAGGAGGACAGAGCGGAAAGAGCCCGTTTATTTGGTCAGCAAGATTTATGGAATACCTCCTGTCTTCCAGGCACTGTTTTAACAACTGTGGATACAGCCATGGATAGAGCATAAAAAGTCCCAGGGGCTGGAGAAAGCAGAGCGCTTTAGTCTCTTGGGATGGGGTATATAGGGATCGGGTGCCTGAGCAAGCAGAATTTGTGGGGAAGGACAACGGCAGGGAGACAGGTCTTTGAGACCTTGCTCTTCATCCTGAAGGCAGCGGGGGACATGGGAAGCAGTCGAGCAGAGGGACACAGTCAAAGCAGGCGCCCTGAGCTCACCAGTAAAAGCACCCTATCCTTGAGGATGGAGCACCAAGCCTTAAACTTAACCCTGTGTCTGGTGCTTCACTGACTGTATCTTATTCAGTCCTCATTATAACCCTAGGGAGTGGGCACTATTTTTTCCCATTTTAGTGATGTAGAAACTGAGGCTTGGAGAGTTCACAAATCTGCCCAGATGTGGTACAGAGCAGAAGTGACAGGAGCCAGGTCCCATCCTAGACCCAGCTGTCCTTAGGACCTGAGTTCTCTCCACCACTCTCAGGTTGAGGAGCTTGAGCAGGGACAGGGAGGGAATAGCCCAGGCCCAGGCTCCATACCAGGGATACTTCTGTCCCCAGCGGACTGGTGCTCGAGGACCAGAATCCTGCCCTGGTTTTCCCAGGCCCCGTGCTTGGCTCACGCTGAGCCCCAGGGACCTGGAGCCGCAGATCTGCAAACTTCCCAACAATAAGCATCTATTAAGAGCCATCGGGGATGATGTATCTTTCTGGTAAAGCGACCCTTGTATTATGACAGCTCCTTGGCAGCCCTGCTGCGTTTCAGAGAGAATTAGAAATGCTTTTCTTCCTTAATTCTCCTCTCCTGCTGCTCCTAATCCGATCGACATTGCGGTCTGCAAGGCATGCCTTGGCCCTCTTTTGCCAGAAACTTAATTTACATGGAAAACAGCTGCTGGGTCAGGGAGCTGAAAGCCCATTGGGAGGCTGGGCATGCCTACCCCAAACCTGGGTGCTGGCCTTCTGGCCTGGGAGGGTGGAAAAACCCTTGGGGCTGACTCTCAGCTGCTGTGTGACATGAGACAAGGCTCTTGCCTTCTTTGGGTCGGTTTTGTCCCGGGTAAAATGAGGATTTGGACAAGTCAATCTTCAGGGCTCTATTAGTTAGGCTTTGGGGTTTCCCTGGGAGAAGGGGCTCTTCCCATCTAGGTGCATGCTCCCTTATCACACAATGTCCCTAGGGCCCCAGTCAGCCCCTCCCGGTCCCCATCTGGCCCCATTTGGAGAGGTGAAGACATTCTCAGGTACCAGGCTTTCGTCCGTCTTTCAGGGACAGCTGAGATTTATTGGCCAAAGATCTGCCCGCCCTTGCTCTTAGCCAACGATCTTAGGTCCACGTATGGGTTGAGCGTGCCCATTGCCCTGGGACCATGTGAGACTCGGCCAACTGGCACCAGCTAACCCTTCACACAGCACATTCAACGAGCATGTTCGCACCCATCATTGGTTACTCCTCACCACAGCCTGGGGTGAGGGGATTATTGTTACTACAGGCAGAGGAGGGGAGAGCCAGAGAGGTTATTTGTCCAATGTCACACAGGGACTGAGAGGACGTGGAGTGGGGCTTAAGCTCAGGTCTTCTGTCCCTAGGCCTGCACCTACTTCCACTGTACCTATGCCAGGAAGAAAGATGGCAGGGGCTAGTGGAGAAAGGAGGGACTCTGTGTACCTACTGTGTTTTCCTCCCACCTCATCCACTCGCCTGTGTGGCAGCCACAAAAACATGCCTTACAGACCTCCAACAACCTGTGGGAGGCCCCAGCTGCCGCAGTGGGACACCCACCTTAATGTCTGTGCCGAGGCCGTGCTTCCTGGGGGCTGCTTGAGCCAGTGACTGAGTGTGGCAAGCCCTGCAGGGATGCTGAGGCAAGAGCCCTTCCTGGGAGACATAGCCCCCCCGCCCATGACTTCGGCTCCCTGGGGACCCTCTGGCTCCCTGGACTGCCAGTCTAGGAAGCTCCCGCCAACCTCCTTTCCCTCCCTCCTTCCCTTGGGGTCAGACCTGTAATGTGGCCTGATGGCTCTCAGCCTCCCCAGCTCTCTCACATAAGCATCCCCCATTAAAACCCTTGCATGTTCAGTCTCACCTTAGCATCTGCTTCTCATACCTGAACTGACCCACCCTACACAAGGTACACAATTAGCTCCATTTTACAACTGAGGAAACTGAGACACAGTGAGGTAAAGGGTCCTGCCCTGAGGCCACTGCCCTTGCCCTGCCCCCTAAAGCCAGGATTGCCGGAGGGCAGGTGGTCTCATACTAACACCCTCTCTCTCCCTGTGCTTGCTCCCCAGCTGCACGCGGGCCCCGATGCTGAGGCCGACGTCCTGACCGACTGTCTGGCCCTGCAGCAGCTCCATGCGTCCACACAGCTGACTGACAGCGACGGGAAGGGTGGCCGGGCGTTAGGCCAGGAGCTGCTCCCAGGTAGGCATGCCAGGCCCACAGCCTGGAGGGCCCTTTTACTGCCACCTCGTCCTGCAGGAAGGGCTCATATCAGCAAGACTTGCTGAAGGGCACCCTCCTTCACACTCTTCTGTGGGGCTCCCCATTGTCCATGGACCAAAGTCCAGGCTCCTCTCAGCCTGGCCTCCGGGGCCTCAAGGGGCCTAGGCACTCCTGGCCCAGCCTTGGCACCTTGGACACAATTGCCTGAACGCCCAGGGCTCCCCCTTTGCTCCGAGCCACTGTTCACATCTCGCCAGCCCCCTCTCTCCTCCTCTTCACTAAGGCAGCTCCTTCACTTCCTTTAGGGCCTGCCTTGGGATTCAGGCCTGTGCCTCAGCTTCAAGCCCCATGGACCGCCACCCCACCCCACCCCCGCCAACCATCATCCCTCACCTCCAAGGAGAAAGCCTAGGTCCTGAGAGGGTGGGCAACTTGGCCATAACCACCTTCGGCTCATTGCTAAACTCTGTGGCCCAGAGACGCACCCCCCACAAAAACCTCTTAAGTCCCTGAAGCCCATCCACCCAGACACTCAGAGCCTCTTGTCCAAGGCAGCCTGTGCGTCCCTGCCACAGCCACGAGCCATGGGGCAGGTCTCAGGCCCGACAGTCCCTGGCTGCTTGACCTCACAGTCCAGCCTGGAGCAGGGCAGTGCGGCCTGTGGATTCCAGCTGACAAAGTTGCTCTCTCCCCTCCCTTCCCCTCCCCCCAAAAGAAACCGCAGTATCAGAGCAGAAAGCTCTTCCCACCCTCTGGGATTTCTTGAATTACTCCAACCATTTTAAACATTTTTTATTTTCCAATTTTTTATTCTTTCCTCTCAGCATTAAAGTAGCAGCAGATTTAAAACTGTCAAAGCACTTACCAAAACAGCCTTGGGAAGAGGAGGTGTTTACCCGTTCTCTGGGGGTGTGCTCAGACAGGCCCACCAGGGTGAGGACCCCTCAGGAGGGTGGGTCCACACCCTTCTCCCTCAGTCAGGGGCTGCTTCTCCCAGCCTCAGAGTTGCTAAAATAGGAGGGCGAGAAGGTACCTTAGGGATGACCCAGCCCAGGGATGAAGGTTTACTATGTGGCACTCTGTGCTGAGCAGGATTTTGAGGCTCAGCAGGGAGGAGGGCTGAGACTGATTGGCAACAGCTGCCCTGCAGCAGAGGTCCCGCAGGCCCATGGTTTTTACCCTGGGAGGACTCGGGCCTGGGCCAGAGAAGGACGGACCCAGCATCGTCAAAAGCCCTTGGCAGATCCAGATTGGAAGCTTCTTCAAGAGACCAGTCCAGGGCTTGTCTCAGGGAGAGGGGCCAGGGCCAGCAATAACCATCTTTTGGGCACTTGGTTGGGCCAGTCACTTTACAAATGCCGTCTCTTTCAATCCCCCCTGAGCCCGTGCTGCAGATGAGAAACAGAGGCACTGAGGCAGCACCGCCGCCGAGGCAGCACCGGGGAGCAGCACACCGGCCAGGCCTGCCCTGGCAGTGCGTGAGCAGTGTCTTCCCTGCCTCGAGCTTCAGACCTTCTGTGATGGCAAATGTGATTGTGGATGAGAGCACTTACACAACCCCAATGTGACTGATAATTTTATCATCATCATCATTATTATTGCGGCTCATGGCAAATGAGAGGAGTAACTATTTACTTATCGGTCGCAGCCAACACTTACTGAGTATGTGCAGGGCCTGTTCTAGGTACTATACAGGCATGTGGTAACTAATATAATCTTCAAAAAGTATGTGCTGGTATGCTGCTTCCTTTCCAGAGGAGGAGACTTGAGTTTCGGAGCGGTCAGGCCACTTTTTGCTGAGGTTCCACAGCCAGTAAAATGGCAGAGGCCCTATCTGGACCCAGGCCATCTGATTGCTGGCTGTGCTCTTAACCAAATAGTCTGCCACCTCCCTGCTGCGAAGGCTGTACTTTGCCACACTGAGCACCTACTATGTGCCAGGCCCCATGCTGGTCCCTGACCTCAAGCAACTTCTCACACAGCAGGGAGGGAAGGACCAGCTCACAAACCCAGGAGTTCTCGGTCTCCTAAGCTTCGGCCGCCAGATTCTGCTCTGGACCATTGGGCACATGCCTGAGGCACAGTTGGGAACAGATGTTAGGGCCAGAGGTTAAGCGTTCACGGCTGATGATTGATGATGCTGATTTACAGCCTGAAGTGGTACATTTTGGGGAGAGGCCGGGCAGGCCCCATGGCATCCCCACTCTTGCTTCCCCTTATGATGCGGTGATTCCCTCATTTTTACCCACTGTCCGTTCACATGGTCAACAAGCCTCATTCACACGCTCAGATGCCCACCATGTGTTCGTCCTCAGGGGACAGGTCAGACGGACCTGGACCGGGGCAGAGCAAAGGCTAGGGAGAGCAGTAGGTAGATTCAAACAATGTTAGGATAGAGGAATCTCTAACAGAGGGGCGAGGACGAGGGAGGAGCTGGTGAGGGTGACATTGAATTTTCATTGTCTGACTCTAGGAAGCTCTCGTGAGCTTGAGTCCCATCAGGAAGGACCTGCTGTCTGCACAGGAAGCCCTCAGCAGCTTCTCTGGCAGGCCTCCTCTTGCCAACCAAGGGCAGTGAGGATGTGAGAAGCATACGGTCAGCATGGCTGAGGGAGGGGAACAGGATTTATCAGGATTCTAGGCCTTCCAAGCTGTCAGGCCCCCAAATTGGTTCAAGGTGGCAGGTGAGGTAGTGCTAGCAAGAGCAGTGAGTGGAGCAAGCCATGAGCAGCGCCAAGCTAGCTCCATCCACAGAAATTCCCTGCAGGGCCTTCCTGACTGAGCTGGGGAAGGATGTGTGGCCAGGGGAGCAGTGGCTGGGTGGACGGGCGGTGCAGCCCTGTGAGCAGAGGGCCCCTGGACAGGGAGCAGGAAGGACTGGGGCTGAGAGGCAGCAGGCGCTTAGGAGCCTATTCGGAGCCCTGGGGTCGCCCAGCCAGCCTCCATGAAGCCTGAACCAGGGGCATCTAGCCAGATATCCAGGCCATAGCCTGGTCTGGAGCCCCAGGCCATTTCCTGGACCTGGCTTTAAATGGGCTTCCTTTTGGTATTACTTGGGAGACCTGATTAGCTGCCCACTGTGTAACTTTCAATGAATCATTGAAGTTCTTAAGACTTAGTTTCTTCATCTTAAAATGGAATCATATTATCTCCCCCTATTGACAGCTGTTGAGATGGTTGAACTAGTGTGGAAAAATAGCTTACGCACAGTATATTCTTAATTAACAGTAACTGTTATTAATTATACACATTTATTATAAGTGTAGAATTTCAGCTAGTGTAACCCATCCGTAGGATGTCTGCTGCTCCAGCTCCAGGCCTGGGGTTGTAAACTGTTTGGTCTCATAGGCACAGTATTCCAGTTCTGTTTTGTTTCTTAACAGTTTTGATGTAAAGGCCCTAAGGGGCACAGTCTCTCCACTTTGCTACAGTTCCCACTGCTCCCTATTGTCATCCCCACAGTCTTACTTATGTTGTTCCCTGCCATGCCACCTAAGGCACTGAGTTTGCAATCCCTGCCACAGTCCTGCTCAATTCCTTGTAGTAGCTCCCTGAATTGCAGGCCTGGGCCTTCAGGGCCAGCCCGGGCTGGGCTAGCCTTGGAACTCTAAACCTCTGAGGAAGTAGAAGTCCCTCTTTTACCACATCCATGAAAGAGTGTGACGTGTTCTCAGATGGTCCTCATGAGGTGATAAGCATTGCAGCATTGTGTCTGGATCCATTATGACAGAATGATATTTAAAACGTAACAGCTGGCCCAGAGTGAGCTCTGACCAGTTGGAGCAGACACATCAGCGCAGCTCTGGGCGTGACCCCCACATCCACAGAGTCCTCCCAGGGCGTCAACCTGATGAGTTGATATCTGTGAAAATGATGTCAATTTCTATTGAAAGTCTAATAAACATGGCCAGTTTAAAAGGGAGTGCAGAATTGGCTCCATTTTTTTCACATAAAATAGGGATGCCAAAAATTTGCAATCCTTTCTCTGTCCCTCTCAGGCTCCAGTCCCAGAGGGGTTCATTCTCCTTTTTAATTGGGGTCCCTTGGTGAATCATTGTCCTCAGTAACTACACTGAGACCCTCAATTGAGTCGCTGGAGCAACATCTGACTGACCTATTGCCCGTTTGATTCATTAACCCACTTATCCTCTCAAAAAAAGTAGGACTGTTGTGAATAAAAGGTGATATCAACCGGCAGGTGTTTTAGAATCTGAGACAAGAGCATGGCAGACTGCTGTCCTCAGTTGGGACACTGGGGCAGTGTCCAGCACCTGTGGCATCCTTTCTCAGGGGCTCCCAGGCCACCTGCCATCAGCTAGCACAGTCACGCTCTCTTTACCTGCGGGTTCTGCTTGCAGCATGATGGGTAGTTCCTTTTCCCCAAAGGCGGTCCGTTACCCTATAGCAGCTTGGCCTGTTACAGGGTCCAGCCAAGCCCTGAGCCAGAGTCTGCTTCTCTCCCTTCCAGGATCCCTGTCTGCTTCTGTGGCTATGCAGATACACGAAGGAAGCCTCTTCTTTCCCAGAACAGCCCCAGAGATTTCATGCAGGCTTCATACAGGCCGGTCGTCTCAATATACACACTCTGGGCCCGACCGCCCCATGCCGCTGACAGCCCGTCGTCCGACCTCTGCTGTCAGGGCAGACCTCAGCTCTGCACACAGCCCATCAGCCAAGGCATGGAGAGAGCAGAGTAGAACCGTCACCTCCCTTTTTGGGCCCCTAGCCTCCTATTAACACAACGTTGCTGGTTCCCTCTCTTTATCTTTCTCATAAGGAGGCGCGCATCTCCTGGGTCATCCACAGCCATCTCTAGGGGGTGGCCAAAGCCCAGTGATATTTTTTTGTTTCCCTGCAGGTGTGTATCCTGGCTCTGTCACCTCCCATAATGGGCTCACATCAGGCATTCTGCCCCCCACGCACGATGTCCCTTCCAGGCACCACCCACTGGACGCCACCACAGGTCCCCACCATCTGTCCCCTCTGCCCACGGCTGAGAGCACCAGGGACGGGTAGGTACAGCAAGCCAGCCCTCCTCGAGGGTACTAAGCAGGTACCTGCATGGGAGGCAGATGAGGACAGGTGTCCCTCACACTAACTGGTTGTTACTGATCATGAAAATAGTCAACATTTAGGCAGCACTTAAACTATGTACTGCGTCTGTCCCAAGCTCTTGCCATGCACGATTTCACTGGTGCCTCACAGTAACCCTACCTGGTAGATGGGGCTGGCACCGGGATGTCTTGCCGCCTCCCCATGAGCCCCCTCTCCTCTCCTGTGGGGGTGGCCCCGGGAATGCTGTCCTTGCCCGGCCCCTGCATTCTGGGCTGCCACGCCCAGGTCTCCTCGAGAGCCTCACCCTGGCTTCTCTTTGGCTCACACCGTGCACTTGGTGAGCAGACTGCCCGCTGCCCGCTCCAGGGGTGCCCACCTGGGCCTCACCCCCACTCCGGCCACTGCAGCTGTGGCCCACTGCCGGGTCTGCGGGGCTGTCCAGGAGCCCTTACCGCAGGATCACTGCAGGGAGGGGTGGCCTCTTCCTGCATTCAATGTGGTTTCCATTGTGGTCACTTAATTGGCTGGAAATGGTGAATGTGCTAATTGCTAGCTTCTAATGCTGCCAAAATCTGTTTCCTTGCCCTGCCTCCTGCCCTCCCTGCCACCTTCACTTACCGCCGGCAGGATTTGATCAAATTTGTCACCCAAGGCCTATCTCCAGAGCCTTCCTCCTCCCCAAGTGAAGCTTTGGCCTTCCTCTGCCTGGGGCCGACCTGGCTTTACCATCATATTTGTCATCCAGGGCCCCTAACTTTGCTCCTCCTTTATTCAAAGTCCAGCTAAGCCCCTGGTGTGGGCAGGCCCTATGCCGCTCACAACACCAGCCCCAGAGAAGCTCCCTATGAGCAGGGGTAGGGGAGAGACCTGCAAGGGTTGATGACACAGGCGAGCTCTGAGGGAAGGAAGCAGGAGAAACTGAAAGCCCAGAGGAGAACCCAGTGCGGTGGGGGAGGCTGGCAGGGAAGGCTTCCTGGAGGTGACGCTTAGCCAGCCTCCAAGGTTAAGTAGGAGTTGGCTGAGCGAGTGGAGAGGTTGGGAGAAAGGAGCAGCAAGAGCGAGGGCACACGTGGTGAGAGCTTGGTGTGTTCTGAGAAGCTGGAATTTTCATGCGAGGTGACAAGCTCCAGAGAGAGGTCACCAGGGCCAGATCAGGGGGCCTGTGACAGAACTCTCTGAGCCGTCACGTGGTCAGGTGTGGGGATGAGAACTCGAGGCCTGCAGCGTGAGCTGAGATCGCCAGGGGCAGCATCGAACAGAGGGCGGATGACAGCTGGAGCTAGGGCTGGCGGGTGGGCAGGAAGAACCCCCAGAAGGCATTAGTGACATGGAACAAGAAGGATTTAGAGAAACTCTGGCTGGCAGAGAGCAGGAGCCGTCGGGGGAGCCCCTGGGTGGGCAGAAGTGCTGGTCACGGAGCAGGGGCAGACTGGTGGTGAAGGCGTGGAGAGCCACAAAGAGGCAGCCTGATGGGGTGCAAAGGGGAACCCAGAAAACCGAGCCTGAGTTCCTCCCCTGTAAAGTGAGCATTGCAGGGCCCTCCTGGAGGAAGGTCTTGAGACCCTGCACATGCCTGACTCTGTATATGTCACCTGGTACAGCTCCTACAGACACCAGCCCCCACCCATCAGCTCAGGCCACCTGCTCACCCACCAGCCAGCCCCAAACATCTCCAACCAAAGAAAAATAAACCTCCATGGCCTTTCCCCACTCGGGCCTGTGCACTCTGCTCTGCCTCATTCATCACCTGCCTGCCGCCTGCATAAGTGCCCGTCAAGAATTCCTGCAACGAGAGGCAGAGTGATGACAAGATCGAGACGGACCCCTGGCTCGCCCGCCCACCCGTGCCTGCAGGAGCCGGGGCTCGAGTCATCCCAACCGCCAGGCGCCCAGGCTCCTCTGGGCTGTGGGACAGAGGGGCCCTCACGCCTGACACCAGGCCCAGCTTGAATGGGTTTCTTTTTTCAGCCCCTAAGAAGAGGTGGGGGAAAGGCCTTCAGCCTCCCGTTCCAGCCAAAGTCAACAGGGAAGGCCACTCGCGGCTCCCCAGTGGTTTGCTGGGACATTTAAATAGCTTGACAGAATTATCTGATTCACTCAAAAATATGCTAAGAGGGCCTGACTTCATGACCAAATATATTTATTCTGGCCCAGAGAAGACGCCGAATAGGGTGGTATTTTACCCCGGCTCCGTACGAGGTATGAAGCCCTAAGTCTGCCAGGCCAGTGAGGTTTTATATTAATTTTTATAGGTTCCAATTGGAGCAAAAATATTTGATTTAGGAGTCATTTGCATGACTCAGAAGAGGAGCTCCAGATGATCTTTTTTCCCTTTAAAGGGTTCAGGTAGAGCAGCATAAGCTCAGCCTTCACGTCTGCTGCAGAGAGAGCCGTGTTCTGTTTAATTTCACTGGCTGTGAAGGTGGCAAATGTGAGTTTATGGCAGGTTTGAGACAGGAAAAACAAACTTTGGAAATGCATGTTTTTTCCCCTTCAGATCTGGTTCTCCTTAATTCTGCAGTGCCGTTAATCTCTGGGTTTTGTAGCTGAACAATTCAGAAACCAGTTTGTTAGTATTTATCAGCTGTTTGCTGCGGGCCAGGCCCAGGGCTGAGCGCCATGGGACTGAGAGGGCCGAGGCCTGGCCCTCCCCGCAGGCAGGGCTGGCAGGAAACCAGGGAAGAGGTTGGGTGCGGGTGCCAGGCTGGGATGGTCATAGGGCAGGTGGGCACCACGCAGCAGGCCCGAAGGAGGACTTACTCTCCAGACCACACCTCGCACAGCCCTCCACTGTCTCCAGAGCGCAGTGGAAGACACTGGCCACCTGAAAGCCATGTGAGCCGGGCCTACAAATATTAATGTAGACAATCATGATAATCCATTCATGGAGCCCTGATGAAGACTCATTTCATTAACTCCAGGAGACTGAAGTGTACCAACAGGGTGTTAGATCCTGGGCTAGGGACCCAGGACACAGGCGGAGTCCCTGCTCCTGCTGACCTCAGAGCACTCACAGTGGGGGGGTCCCAGGTGTATGGATGATGACCGCACCACGCGTGCTGCGGGTGGAGGGGCGGAGACAGCAGGGTGCCAGGGTGGAGGGAGCAGGCAAGGACCCCGCAGAGGGACAGACTTGGAGCCTACCGACCTCTCCCCAAATCCCTGTACCCCATTTTGAGACAGTCCTGATTCCTTGGAGAGACACTGGTCCGTCCCTTTAACGCCTCGCGTCTTGGAGGGTGGGCCGAGGGAACATGCCTAGCCTGCAAAGGTCACCCGGGGCTGTGACGTTGAATTTGCCGTGTATTTTAATGTGATGGTCCAGCAAATCCGCAAATGCAAACAAGAAAATGGAGACCGAGCTCTCCCTCCCTCTTTCTGCAACGCACGTCAGTGCTGTACAGACTGGGAGCCTTCAGCCTGCTCCCAAGAGCCCCCAAGTCCAGCTGAGCTTATTTTGGCTCCTGTGAACAGGCCACCGCCTGGTCTACAGGGATGGGCAGTCCAGTTAGGGGGCCCACTTGGTGGGAGGTGATGAAAGCCCCATCACAGGATGGATCCAAGCAGAGGAGAGATCCCAGGGTTGGAGACAGAGGTCACTAAAAGTGCACTGTGCAGAGGAATAAAGGCCACCTTGGACATCAGACCTACCTGCTGGTTTTCCTTCCCTTCATCTTGATGATGACGATTATTCACAGAGTGGAGAAGAATGGACTGAGATCATACTGGTGCTTTGTCTACATTGCTTTATTTATTTTACCCTCACAGTAACTATGTATGCCAGTGCTGTGTGGCCGGACTAACTTAGGCAACCTCTCTGAACCTTGGTTTTCTCATCTGTGCGAAGGACACAAGAACCTCTCTCACAAACAGGGGTTCCATGAATGGCGGCTGCTGGTGCCATGGGACGTTCTGCTAAGGAACTGCCGAGGCTTTCAGTGTGGCTGCCTTCGGGTTCATCCTCCAGGCGGCCAGGACAGCATACACCGTTAGTGTCAGGACCCGGCAGGGCTGGCTGGTAGTTAGCCCGGGGCAGTAAGAGTGCAGCGTGTCAGGTAGAGAACACAGCAGCCCAACAAGGAAACCAAGGCTCAGAGACATTTAGCATCTCGCCCAAAGTCATGTGGCCAGTGAGCCGATGGGGTATTAAACACAGAGCTGTCAACCCCAGAAGTTGTGCTTATAACCAGTGTTCCTTGCTGTAGTCTTAAATACCATATGGAAGGTTTTCTTCACTGATTCTTTTGAGGCTCTAATACTTAAAAGATTTTAAATTTTTAATTCCAATTTGAATATAGAAATAAAACCCTCCCTCTTCTAACTGCACTGTTGCAAATTAGAGCAGGCCAGGTAGTGAGCTGCCCACTGCTGGAGGGAAGCAAACAGCCGTAGCCATGCCTCTGGTCCTCACCTTCTCCAGAGCCCCTCCTGCTCACAGCTGTCTCTGTTCTCTCCAGGCTAGGACCCGGCCTCCTCTCACCCATGGTCAGCCCACTGAAGGGGCTTGGGCCGCCGCCACTGCCGCCATCCTCCCAGAGCCATTCTCCAGGGAGCCAGTCCTTCCCCACGCTCCCCAGCAAGCCACCCTACCCACCCTTCCAGAGCCCTCCACCCCCGCCTCTGCCCAGCCCGCAAGGTAAGCTCTGCTTGGGGGCCTGTCCTAGGCACACGCAGACTCCTGCTAGGGTGCACGAGAGAAGTGGGACACTCGCCTGGGGAGGAGCAGGTGGGTAACAGAGTGACAGCAGGGGGACCACAGTGGGAGAAGCCGGCGTCAGGTGACCCAGCGTGCCTAGTGAGAGGCACTTCCTGAAGGAAATTCTTCCTCATTGATAAGGCATCAAAGGCTCCCCCAGCCGAGGCAACAGCATTGGCGGTGGCAGGGAACAGCCTGATGCTTGGAGGAGCAGAAGTGATTTGGGTACCTCAGGGGGAGCAGTGGAGGGCCGATTGTCCCTTCCCTCGGGGCACTGGCATCGCCATAAATGACTTGAGGCAGGTGCAGCCACATGAGGCTGTATCACCCCCTCCCTCTGGTGCAGGGCGGAGGGGGAAGAGGGGCCCAGGACCCCTGGCACCTTCTCTACCCTGGGGCTCCCTTCTCTGCCACACCCGCTATGCCTGGACAGGGCAGCACGGTGGGGAGGGGGCCCTGGGCACTTTCCTTTTGTTGATGTGGCCCCTGCATCCCCCTCCGCAGGGTACCAGGGCAGTTTCCACTCCATCCAGAATTGCTTCCCCTACGGCGACTGCTACCGTGTAGCCGAGCCAGCAGCCAGCGGGGACGGACTGGCCGGGGAGGCCCACGGTTTCAACCCACTGCGGCCCAATGGCTACCACAGCCTCAGTGCACCTTTACCTGCCACAGGTAAGCTCCACCTGCATGCCTCCCTTCCCCGAACGCCCACCAAGGCCCAACCCTATGCTGGGTGCTTTATACCCATTGTCCCGCAGCCTAGAGACAGCCCCATGGGTATGACCCGCTTGACAGAGGTGAAATTGAAGGCTCAGAGCTGTCCCAGGACTCCACAGAATGGGATTTGCTCCCTGCCTGTCTCCACAATTCCACACTGCTGTGTGCCTGGATTCTGGCAGGTTCCTGAAGACACGGAGAAGAATCAGACTGGAGCTCACAGTCTAGTTAATGTTCCCTCTGAATATTCACTGCACACCTACTGTGTGCAGGCATGGTTATAGACCCTGAGGATCCAGAGCATGATACAGATACTGATCTCTGTTTAACAGATGAGGAAACTGAGGCCCAGAAGGGCCACATTGCTAGGAAGGGACAGAGCCTGGTGGTCCTGCTTGTTCTTGGGCTGCTTCTGTGCCCCCTGTAGGGCCCTGGGCCTTCCCCAGGTAGTGCCGTTGGCTGGGGCGGAGAAGGCCTGTGAGAGGGGAAGGCTGTGCAAGACCGAAGGCAGAGATAGGCTCAGACCAGCAGGGCCAGTCCTGGTCAGAGCACGGGCCCAGATGGGTTGGCCGGACCCTCCCTGAGTTCTCCAAGCTACGCCCCCCCTCTAGATCAGCCCCATGGCCCAGGGCCAGCTGGAAGCTACAAGGCCTGGGTGGATGGGGACCCCAGACAGAGGGGAGCCCGAGACCCTGTCCCAGAGGCCCCTTGGGCAGCTCTGGGTATGTGCAGCTGGGGGTGGAGGCATGAAGACGTAGGGACAAGCACCGAGGCCACAGACGAGCACACACAAATCTGTGGTTCCATGTGTCCGGTTTGCACAGATCAACCTGTGTCTGTGTATGTTGTCTTTCTTCATGTGCCTGTGGAGTACGTCAGTGTGCCTGCGCATCTGGGGCCGGCATGGGTGGATTCCAGGCAGTGTGGGCCCTCTGAGTGTGTAAGGAGCTTGCAGGGCGCACGAGCTTATGTCCGCACACATGAGCCCACGTCGTGCTTGTGCTGATGTCCATGCCCCAGCTGTGTCCCCATCCTGTGACCCCATCCATGTGCACACATTGTTCCCCATCCTATATAACCCCATCAGTGTACACAGACTGTGTTCAAGTATAGTGTAAGTATACCTGTGGGTGGACATATCACATACATGCACCATAGGCAGATGTGTACCCAATCACAGGGTGAGCATGTTCCATGTTTGCACACACATGGATTGGTGTGTGATTAGGCACCGGCCCCTTTCCCCAGCACTGCTAGCTCTCACCGAGCCACCCTCCACCCAGCCCCCAGCCAGCCCGGGGTCGGATTTCTTGGTTTAGCAGCAAGGCCTGAAATAAATAGTTCTGAGGGCTCAAGAGGTAGTTTCCATGCCCGCTCACCAAGGCAGGGGGTTCTTTTGGCCTCCCTTGAGCCCTGCTATCTGTTGGCGGCCCAGCATCCAGTGCCCCCTCCAGGCACTGCTCAGCTACCTACATCATCTCTGCCAAGCTGAGAATGGGCACACAGGGTTGAACAAGGTGGGGCCGTGGGAGAGTTCAGGAATAGTTCGGCCTGATCCCAGTGCACAGATGGGAAGACGGAGGCCCAACTGCCTTAGGCTACAAAAGTTCGAGACAATAGTTCAGATACAGAGGACTGGGTAAGGCGACATCTCCAGTCCCCTACCAGGTAGAGAGCCCCTGAGCAGTAACCCCACCTGGAGACAGCATGTCCAATGGAAGAGCCAAGTGTCTTAGAGCCGGATCGACCTGGGTTCAAAGCCCACCTCTCCCACTGAACTTGGCCAAGTATATTGCCCCCTCTGGGCCATCTTTTCGGCTTTACAGTGGGATAATGATCCCATCTCAGAGGACTGTTGTGAAGCTTAAGTGAGGTAAGGCTTCACCAAGCCCTTTATAAGTGCCCAGTGAGTACGGGTCCCTTCTTTGGGTTTCTTGTGCCTGGTAGGGTGGAGGAACCTGAAAGGGTGGGCGGGTTGGGGTCCTTCTGCCAGGAGGGGACCAACCCCTGCAGGCAAGAGCTGTGATAACACACCCCCACACTCCCACCCCCCACATTCTGCACCAAAGCCCAAGCCCCTCCTCCCCCTACCTGGAAGGGCAGAGGGCTCAGAGCAGGTCTCACTGAGGGGACACTAGGCAGGACGGTGGCATCTGGGAGTTGGAAAAAGGTGACGAGGCACACCCCCTGAGTTCTGCAGCCTGGACCCTTGCCCCACACAGGCTACGAGGCTCTGGCCGAGGCCCCATGCCCCACAGCGCTGCCGCCACAGCCATCTGAAGATGTCGTGTCCAGCGGCCCCGAGGACTGCAGCTTCTTCCCCAATGGGGCCTTTGACCACTGCCTGAGTCATATCCCCTCCATCTACACGGACACCTGAAGAGAGGCCCGTCCCACACCTGTCCACCCTCCACCAGATGCTACCGTGCCCACCCACTGTGTGTTCCCACCGTCTGTGCACCCAGCCTGAGCAGCCAGATCAGAGCTCTCCACACATTTAGGGTGCCGGGTCTGCGGCGGCCGCCCAGCGCTGGCCGGGAGCAACCATCGCAGCCCCAGCGGGGGCTCAGAGGTGCCCGGCAGGATCCGTGACCTGCGACGTACCCTTGACCGTGTCTTCCTTTTCTCTCCCCAACAGTTTTAAAATCACAGACCTCATGTATATAAAGTGTACAGAATTTGTTTTCCATTCCCCTGCCAGTTTTATACTTTTGGTTTTACAAGAAAAACATTAAAAACTGGAAATAAGACTTGGGGGCCTGGTTCTGTTTTAGTGATTGGCCTAGAGGCTGAGTTCAGGGGAACGGGGAGGTGTGTGTAGCGGGTGGGGGGGGCTCAGAAGGCCACATGGAGACCAGCTAGGGCCTTGGGTTCTCCCTCCCGCCTGTGCCCCCCCCCGCCCCCGCCCCCCGCCTCGTGGAGATGGGTGCCCTAGTCTCATGGCCCCACCAACATGCTGTGAGCCTTACAGACACTGCCACTAGTCTCAGGACCTCAATGAAAGGCAGGCTTATCCCGACTGGCAGGCAAGGGAACCAAGGCTGGGACTGGAACTGGAACCCAGCTCCATCTGGCCAGGCCTTTGCTATCTGCACTGACTTCTCAGTAGGTGGGAAAATGCGCTGCAGTTCTGGCGTGGCTTTGGGTAAACCAGGCAGGCCATGGGGCGGGGCGGGAGCTGGGCAGGGCAGTCCTTGCAGGGACAGAGCCCAGACAGGCTCCTGGAGGCGAAGGCAGGGGCAGAGGCAGGGCCCGAGAAGGTGGGCCAGGGTGCAAAGAGCATCCTTTGCACACAGAGCCCCACCCTACCCTGAATGGCCGGAACAGCCAGGGAGGGAGGGGAGAGGAGCCGATTCTGAGGGCACCGAGGCCGCCAGGCCGCTGCCGCCCTCCCCCGCGTGTCTCTCCCGTTGTCCAGGGAACAGGCCCTCCATCCAGGCCTGCACAGATGCTCTGGATAGTGTCATGGACCTCACCATGTCACCCCACAGGTCACCTGGTTTAAGAAAAAAATTCCTCAAGGAAAATTCTTGCCACTAGCTGCTGAAGTGAAACAAGGCAAGGGAGAGCATATTTACTGAGTACCTACTGCGCGCCGGGCCCTCGCCTGTGCCCTTGACAGCCCCGTGGAAGGTCTTTCCATCCCCACTTTGTAACACGTGCTGGGTTAGGTAAGCAAAATGAGATGGAAAGATCTAGTCAACCTGTCCTTTATAGAGGGGGACCCGAGGTTCAGAAAGGCCACCCCGCCATGTGACGGACCAGATGATCTGTGCCTGGTTGTCCCCCATAATCTTGGGAGCCCACGACTGTACTAACCGTGTGTGTGCAGCTTGGTGCCAGTCCGGGGTGTGCTGCCCCGGACTCTGCTCTCCGACACCTGCCCACCCCCCGGGGCATGGTCCACCTTTCTGTGTGCCCAGGCCCACCTGTGGGGACTGTGTCTGGGGCTCCCTTCACTCTGGCTCCTGGCCAGCTGCAGCCTATGAGGCGCTTAGCATGGGATGGGGGGGAGGGGCGGTTCCCTAGGGGAGCTATGTCCTCCACTGAAGGTCAAGAGGCCCTCTCCGCACAGCCCACTCTCAGGGAAGTCAGGGCACTGCACTGTCCCTCATTTGTCTGATACCCTGTCCACGTCATGGTACACAGTTCCTTCATTTCACCCTCTTCAGTTGCTGCAAAGGCAGTCTGTTTCCTGCTGGAGCCGGGCAGTCACCCCATTTTACAGATGCAGAGAGTGGGAGAGGATGAAGTTAAGGCCCAGCCAGCAAGTAATAGACCTGAGATTCAAACCCCAGCCTTTGGCTCCAGAACTCATGCCCTCTCACCCACAGCACTGCCTGGCCCTCAAAGACGGGGCAGCATGGCTCCCACCTCTCCCAGCCCCAGCCTCCCGGAGCAGACCCCAAGCAAGGCCCCCGGGGGTGGGACTAACCCAATGTCACTCAGAACATCGGGGTCTGGGACGAGGGTCTGGGGCTCCTGACTCCCACCCAGGCTCTCTTGCCCCCTCACCCCATTCCCCACTGGTTTTATGGAACTAATTAGGTTGTGGCAAAATTCCTTCAACAGAGATGCTCAGAATCAATACTGCATGTCATTGTGAGCACTTAATCCACTCCAGATAAGCAGAATTAAGCTGTACAATGAGGACACATTTCTATTAATAATGAAAAGGGCTGAGCTATGAGCAGAACACACAGGGAGCCAGCAGTTGGATCCCATTTAATTTCAGAGAGACAGCGAAAGGAAGAAAAGGAGAAAAAGACAAAGAGAAACAGAGAAAGAAAAGACAGACAAGTGAGTTGGAGATGAAGGCGGGCGCCCAGCCTGGAGACCGGCACACCACAGGGCTCGACGGGCTGCGGCTTTCATCATGCCCCTGAGCTGTAAATGGGATTGTGCCCCCCCCCCCGCCCCGGGGTCTCCTCAGAGCCTCCTGTCCTCCTCTTGGCATGCTCTGGACCCTCCTGCCCTGACGCTCCGATACCCACCGGGTCTCCCTCCTAGGCCACGGTGAGTTCCTCAGCGGGCAGGCCCCTGGGGTAGGACCTGCCGACAGGCTGCAGCTACGCTCCCTGCCCAGCCAGTGCTTTCTTTGTCCATTATTTTGTGTTCTCTAAATGATGGACAGAGCAGCCCCTCCTGAGCTCTGACCATTGCCGGCGACACTGCAGCAGGAGTCCGTGGCATCCCAGGGGCGTGGTGATTGCTGCTCCTCCTGACTGGCCAGAGGTGCGACTGTCTATCCTCACACGGAGAGGGCTGGGGGGCCGGCGGAGGGGGGTGTTTTTCACCTGGAGGGCTCCGGGGAGTTGGCTGAGGCTGGCGGGGCCTGCGGGGCCCGTAGGGCAGTGGTGCCGAGTCTGCCCAGGGCTCCCCCTGGGGACCCGAGTGCAGGGACAGCGCCCAGGCCTACCAGGTGACCACAGTGCCCTTCCCAGCCAGCCATTCCAGCTGGCCCTGCAGCCCAGCCTTTGTCCAGTCCAAGCTGAGATGGGCCCATCTCCCTGTAACAGTGGGAAATTGTAACCCACCCCACCATTCTTTGGACAGTGTTTCTGTAAGTGCTGACTCTGACTAACATGTAGCTTGCAGAGGAACAGCATGTTTGCGTAAGAATCCTAGGAACTAACTTCAAAAGATACAGACTTCGAGCTTTGAGCACCCTGGTTTTGGGAGATTTGCTGACCTTCATCTGTGGGTCCAAGATGACATGAAGCTGAGACGATGTGAATTCATGATGACTGAACCGGGGGAGGCGCACCGGGCCGCCACTTGTCTTATTGGAATGGCCTGTGCTCATCTGCATGTGGAGAACTTTGCAACCCTCTCCCTTTGTCTCTTCCTTCTGTGTCCTCTCATCTCCCCAGGGAGATGGGCTTTGAGACATGGGTCCCCCATCTTCCAGGTGGCTGGCATCTAATAAACCACTTTTCTTTACATCAGCACCTGCCCTAAGTGCTGGCTTTCGCAGCCGCAGGCAGCTGGGCCTGCGTTTGGTTCCATCCCCACCGCCTTATCTCTGTCTCCCTGTTTCTCTGCCTTCCATGTCCCAGTTCCATCATCCGCCTGCCTGTCCCCTGTCTTCCATCTCCCCGTCCCTGCCTGCCTTTCCTTACTGCTCGCCCTCACTCCCCTGCGGTTCTCTCCGTCTCCCCCATCCCTGTCTCTGTCTCACCACTTCTCTGCCGGTGCCCTTTAGTCCTAATTCTCTCCTCCCTCCCTCTCTCCACCACCCCCTCGCCCCCGTTCATTCCCTTTGTCCCTCTTTTTCCTCCATTTTCTCTTTCTCTTGCCCTCTTTAAACTGCAAGGTCTGATCCAAAGTAAGTACACTTTTCTTCTGTCTCCCCTTACTCTCCTTTCTCTGATTCCTCCTTGCTCAGTCTTCCTAATTCTCTGTGGCCCAGAGGGAGACAGTGCCTTGCCCAAGACAACCCAGAGCGTTGGTGGCAGGGGAGCACAGGGCTGGGAAGGGGGAATCCTAGGAGAGTGCTGGAGGGAGAGGCCTTGGCACAGGGCGACCCCTGCTCCACCTGAACGCCACCCACCACGGGTCTCTGGGTGAACGGGTATGGGACCTCGGCTTCTGCCCCGCGTGGCCAGGCCCGAGGTCCCCCTGATGCAGGGCATACCCGGATCGGTCCTGCAGGGACTCCCTCCGCCTCCCAATTCTCTTACCCGCTGGCCCTTGTGTTCCGCACTCCCACCCCGACCCAGACCTTTGGGCTGAAAAGGCCCACAGAGGCCACCACTTCCACCCCTCATGTCACAGATGAGGAAGCCCTTGGAGACCAGAGTGACAAGCAAGGGACTAGTGGGAGTGTCAGAGCAGACTTATACCCGAGGACGCCCCCTCCTGCGCACTGCTGTGGAGGGCGTGGTTGGGGAAGCTCCCGCTAGAACGTACACCCCACGAAGGCAGATCCTGGTCTGTCCTCACTGCCGACTTCTGACAGCAGGCGCTCCAATGCCTGTTTGTTAAATACCTCAATGGAGCTGGAGAGACGGGAGCAGGGAAACAAGGACCTGCCTGCACAGAGCCTTGCACACAGCAGGGCCACAGTAAATATTTGGAGGCTGGTCATCCCGTCCAACCCCTCGTTTTCCAAACAAGACAGGCCTGCAGATACAGAGCAGGTCAGTGACCAGCAGTGGAGAACCCAGGCCTCTTGGTCCCAGGCCACACTCTGTCCAGCCTCTCTGTCTCCTGAAGAAGGACTGCATCCCATGCTTACAACTCCTACAGATGCATGTGTGTTCTTACAACATCTGCAAGGCCAGCGTGATTACCCCATTTCACAGAGGAAAGAACTGAGCCTCAGAGAGGTGGCCTGCCAGAAACCACTAAGAGAGTCAGGGAGGAGCTGGAGTTCCA